AACGTTTAAATATATGGACTCTATAAGAAATTGGTTCTCATAAATAATGATCATATGTTATTTATTTTCAATTTTAAATAATTAAAAAATCTAAAAATTTGTATACATGATGTATATTTTAATCATAACTCCATAATAATAAACTTTACAGATGACCAAAAAGTATTGTCATATAATAGAATTCTAATTCTTCTGTTGTCAAATATTTTGACAAATGATATGCTTCTCAATATTTTCTCATTGTTTTGTTTTATCATTGCAAAAAATAGATTATATTATTCGTCTATATTCTAGATAAATAACACTGAAAATAAAATGTAGGAGTATCAAAACATTTTTGAATGTTAGAATTAAGTTGTCACTTTTTATAGAAATATTTATAATCTCATTTGTGTATTGTGCTTGAACATATGTGCAATTACTTTAGAGGCACTTTCAGGTAATGTATGATTATTCCAGAAAATAATTTAACACCTCGGGAGAAGTACATGTAACCAAGATTTTGGAAAGTCAACTTTTATTTGGAGATAAAATTCATTCCCACCTCGTGGGGCGATGCATCAATGTGTAGATACTAATATATCTAGAGATAGAAGAATGTAGTAGTTTATACAGTGATAAAAAATATCAGCAATTTTAGTGACACCGTTAGTTATTTCATAGAGATATTTATTCTTTGTTAGTAGAAGTACCTTGTTATAAAGATCATACGATCATGAAGTTTGACTATATGTTGGGTCAAAATGTTTCTTAAGTGTTTGAATAAAATTGCGTTTTGCCAAATTAATTAAGAGGAATTTTTGCAATAGTATTGATGTATTCTCCAACGACTATGAATGTTTTTACGAGAACGTTAAAACTAAAATGAAAGAAAATCTTTGTGTTTTTTTATTACGAATTAGTTTTTATATATATATTTTTGTTGGGGTTTGTAAAATATTATTTCACTATTTTTATATGAGGAAATCATTATGTTAATTCTAAATAAAAAAATCACACATGATCTCATTTTTTCTATATTTTTACTTCATTTATGCAATGATATGTTTAATAAATAAATTAATTTATTTTACAAACTTACTCCGCAAAAATTATTCGACACAACGTGCATTGCACGTTCACTTTACTAGTCAAATAAAAATACCTAAAAGTTAATTATTGACAAGTTGTGGCATAAATGATACCAATGGAAAATTTAACTAGTGACTACTAGACATGGCCAGAACGTGACCCGGCACGGACCTACACTTGTGCCCGGTCAATGGCCCGGTTGACTGAGCCGGTCTGAGCCGGTCACTGATTACAACTACTAATCGTTATAATGAGTTAAGTATACTTTACGTAATTAATTAATGCCTTCTCGACATATTTTATAGAAACAATATATCTTTAGGCAAAAAATATTCTACAACAGTTGTCGAAAAGAGTTCTAAGAAGAACAATGGAATTGGAAAAAAAAAATATATATATAATTATAAATATTTGTTTTGAAATTCAGGTTTATGCCCAAAGCTCACGCAATATTTAATGAAGAAAATTGTCATTTTTGTTACAGTAAGTTGACTAGTGCCCATAAAAGTATATCAATTTGATGCACATTAAGCTTAATAAATAAATACGGGAAAAAAACATAATATATATATATATATATAATATATGTACTAATTATGAAAGCATCCATATAGTTACCATCACATGCAACAATATTACCCGCACAGCAAGCTACATTCTTGATCTATATATAGCAAGAGCCAACACAAAGTACAAATACATTCTAAAAAAAAAAAAAAAAAAAAAGAATACTCATCCAACACTTTGCCAATTTAGGAAACTAATAGTACTAACCTCTTTTAGTACACAGGACACTCACAAGTGATGGAGATGGAGCAAACAACGGAAGATAACAAATGGGTGCTCGACTCATCAGTCGACCGTAAAGGAAGAATCCCTCTTCGTGCAAAGACCGGTTCATGGAAGGCGGCCCTTTGCATTATAGGTAGCTATATATATTGTAGTTCTAGTAATATGTATAGAACCTTTTTTATTTTCTCAATTTCCTTTATTGTTTACCTTTTAGAAAAGGTGGGCCAAAAAAAAGAAGTTAACTTTGGATGATGAATTTTGCAGTGATTGAGTTTAGTGAGTGGCTAAGCAACTTTGCAATAGCCACGAGCTTGATCATATACCTTACGAAAGTGATAGGTCAAGACGTGAAAACAGCCGCAAAGAACGTTAACTATTGGTCGGGCGTCATGACCACAATGTCATTGGTTGGCGCTTTTCTTGCCGATTCTTACCTCGGCCGGTTTTGGACTGTCATGGCTGCCTCTGCTCTTTATCTCCTGGTGAAAAGCACAAATCAAATCTCAAATAATTGTATTTTAGTGATGTAATAAAACAAGCTGAGTTTGAGTTTGGGCATTTGGAGCTTTGTGTTCGTTTATGTTCTCGAACACAGTCCGGGAGAAAATTCGTGTTCAAGCTCGCTCTTTCGTCAAAGTTCGAGTTTGAATAATTTAGTAAACGTAGATTTTAAAATTGTTTGATTGACACGAAGATGTGTTGGTTTGAACTTATTCGAGCTCGATAATAAATAAATAATAATAATAAAATAAAAATATTTTCATATATATTTTTGGATTTTATTTAAATATATATAATGTTTGCGGACATTACCGAATGTCCAAGAACAAGCTCGTGTTCGTTCGGTTCAGTAACAGTAGTAAAAAAGGCCTCCTTTTGTTGTCGTTTCTCTAACTTTCTTGATTTATGTTTGGTGTGTCCAAACAGGGGTTGCTCTTGCTGACCATGTCAAGTGTGGTCCCTGCCCTGAAGCCCTGTGCTGGCGACACCTGTTCCGAGGCACGAAAAATCCACACGACGTTCTTCTTCCTCGCGATTTACCTAATCGCGATAGCAAGTGGCGGCCACAAGCCGACCCTCGAGAGCTTCGGTGCCGACCAATTTGACGACGACCACCCTGAGGAGCGCAAGAAGAAGATGTCCTTCTTCAACTGGTGGAACTCCGCATTGTGTGCTGCGATATTCTTCTCGGCGACCGTGATCGTCTACGTGCAGGACCACGTTAGCTGGGCCGCGGCCGATGTCGTTATCATGTCCGTCATGGGCTTTTCGGTGGTGCTTTTTTGGGCCGGTCGGCCGCTCTACCGCTTCCGGAAGCCCGCGGGTAGCCCATTCACGCCGCTAGCTCGTGTGCTTGTCGCCGCTTTTGTCAAGCGGAAGCTTCCGTACCCGTCGGGAGTTGATCGGCTTTACGAGGTTTCGAAGGGGGATACGGTGGCTAGAGGGAGGCTCCTCGTCCACACGGATCGACTCAAGTAAGATTCTTTCGTCTGTGTGTGCGTGTGTATTTGTATTTCTATTTTTGTTCCCATGATTCGTAGTTATGTTTTTTCATTTCATAGAAAGGGAAAATTC